GGTTTTGACCTGATATACAAGCAGTCTTTTTATTTTCACGATTGAGGAATATTTTGAAAAATACATTGAAGTTCGAAATTTAACTTTCTTTTTACCCCTCCCAAACACTCTTAGAGAGGTATATTTAGCGTCTGGTTACCTATTAAAATAACTAGCCACAATTCAGTTTGAATCAATGTTTGAGCCGACTTAAGTTGCCGTTTCCGCCCTACTACTAGTGCAAAGCTTTTTTGAGAATTTTCGAGGAAAGCGACGAAACATTTGTTCTCGGGGTTGCTTTCTTATTCGCCTGAAACTAGCAGTTTTGTTTAAACAAGCTCTTTTTGAGGTATTTTTTCTAAATCACCCAAAAATTTTTGATGTCTTGAGCTCCAATTTTAAAAAGGGGTTTCTATTGTGATCGTTCTTTTGTGAAGTAATGGGGGTTTAAAGCTTGCGATTATGGCAATTTTGGGACAATTAACGAAAATTAAAAATTAAATTAGCGAAAATTAAATACATCCTAGAAATCTTATGAAATTTTAAAGTCGTTTTTTTTTCATAATTGCTACGTTACTGGGTGCGAAGTCTATCACTTTGTTTTTTATATGGCGAGTGGGGGATGATAATTTTAAAAATCTCAAAAGCTCAAAAGGCCTTAAAAGGCAGTCGGAATTTTCGGGCTTTGTCTAGATACGAGCAGTCTTTTTCAAAATTTTGTTCTCAAATAACTATCTGAAAAGTCGAATTTGGTCTGATGAAAAAAAAACCACACCGAGCACATGTTTTTTATCAGTTTGTTAAGTGACGCACAAAACAAAATTTAAAACAATTAAAAAAACTAGCCTTACTTGCTATCCTTGATTCCGATCCACTCTACCTACGACACGAGAAAAGGCATGCTCGCCATAAAATTAACATTAAGAACAAGTCGATTAAATTTTACACCCGGCTTCTACGTTTGATGAACCTAATTGTCATATAAACCATATGAACATTTTTTTTATCTAACTAAACGTAAGCACATATATTTCTTCTGAGCACCGAGCGCAAATGCTATTAGTAGGCTCAATTGAGAGAAAGGTTATTGCATGTTTTTGTACCTAAAGTCTTGTTCGTTTTGTTGATTTTTATAAGATTGTTGCATATCTTTGTGCCAAAAACTTTTTTTATGATGATTTTCATATATTATTGATTTTTTTTGTGCACAAATTTTTGTTAAGGTTGTTAATTTTTATCACTTCATTGCATATTTTGTGTATCTAAAATCTTGTTTATATTGATGGTTTTCATGAGATCATTGCATAGTTTTGCGCCCAAATTTTTTTGCGCTGGACAGTTTTTATGATTTGCTTGGTTTAGCTTGATTTCAACTTTTGTTTTGAGCTTTGAAATTTTGAAATAGCATGCTTCTAAGAAAAAAAAACATTTTTTAGCTGATATAAACCATTTTTTAGACAAAATAATATATTTCGAGGGTCCGTAATATCAGCAATTTTAAGGCAATTTTATATAGTTTTTTATTGCTATTTTTTGACATTTTTATGGCAAAAACAATAAATGTTTTTTTTGCAATTCCGGCGAAAACAATAGCTTTTATTGCGGTTTCATGGCGGTCTTAGGAAATAAAAATATATATTTCATTGTGATTACGTGGAGATAGAAATATATTTTTGTAGATTTTTAATGCAATATAATGCTCAGGAAAATAATCCATTTTCTTTCTATTATAATAGAACATGTTGCTTAATTTGGTTACACATAAAAACTATAATGGCAACTTTTTCAATAAAATCTTTTTTTATCACAGAAACTTCGATGCGGGTAGTTTCTTAATTACTTATAAATTTCGTTAGATGTTTAAAATTAATTCGGCATGAAAACTAGTAGAAACTTTTATATGAGCATCCGGTTGAACCACAGTGTGTTTGCTTTATCCATCATGGTATATCATTACGTTTCGGTTTTTTCTACACTTCTAGAGAAACTTTTTTTTTTTTAAAAAGAAAACCGTTTCAGATGTCTAAAGAATAAAAAAACTGACCATACCAGGGCGAGGCACTGACTATTGCGGCTGCTTTTTATTTTTTGTGGAGTAATTTAAAATAAAATAATAAATGAAATCTTCAAAAAATTTTACTGAAAAAATTTCAGTTTTTTAAAATTGTTTTTACTGAAAATAATCCCCCCACACGCTATGTAAAGTACAAAGTGATATTTTTTCCATATAATAAAGTATTAAATAGACCAAAGAACATGGTTGAATCCGTTTTAACTATAAGCCATAATAGCACGCAACATATCGCGCGGTAATTTTCCCAAATTGGCAATCCTTATCCCCATAACTTTACGAAGATTGATCACAAGCGAAATATCTTATCAAATTTGAGCTCAGGACAACAATACCACTTTCCGAATGATATTTAAAAACTCCGCCGAAAAAAGTTAGTTAAAAAATCGAAATTTGTTTAGAGAAAAACCCCGAGCACAAATATTCAGTCATTTTCTTCGAACAAAAATGCTTGAACAAAAATGTTTGAATGGGTCCGATATGTAGTGAGTAAATTACAGCGAGTGATATTTTCCAATCCTTACTTGAATTCGGTTAATTTCTTAGTTTTACTGCGAGCATTATAAATTAATTGTGGATCCTTGCCCATGCAAAATCGAGATTAAAGGCGCATCAGTATACTAAATACTTTTAGAAGTGACGGAGTTTCAAGATTTGCCTTTAAAGTTTGTTATTGAACTTTTAAACTATTAATGTTGCCTAGTGAAAATTTTCACTTTCAGTGAACGTTATAAATAGTTTTAACCAGAGAGTTTCCAACATATATTTTTTCACTTTTTACTAAAAATCCACTAGTAGAGGTCAATTTACAGACCTTAATATCTTAATTTAAATAATTTTTAATTTCAGATTTCGTTTTTTTGGTCACGAACTTTTTTTGCATGATGAACAAATGAGCATCGAATATATCATACGTTTTGAATTGAGCCTGGCTGGAAGTCAATAAAATTAGACATTAACGTGAAAAAAAAGCAGATGAGTTCAGAGTGGGAAGAAAGTAAGAACAGACCATAAAATTTGTATTTTGCGTCTCTATAACATAAGATCTAAAGGTTGACGATATATTTTACAGGATATAAATAACTTCCTAGGAAAATGTGGTGAAAATTGAAAGGATGGTGAAAAAAAGACAAGGAAAAGATGAAAAAAAAAATAAGAAGGAAAAATAAGGGTTGAAAACGCTTGGTAAAAGTTCGGCGGGTAGAAAAAAGTTTTCTGAGTCAACAATTGAATCGATTGAATATAGGGTTCTCTCGTGGTGTGAAGGTGTGTGGATGGGGGTGGGGAAGGGGGACGGGGTTATTGGGTAGACTTCTGAATAAAATAAGTGAAATCCATACATTTGGGCCATATTTTGCAGGCTCCTTCCATGCATAGTTTTTCATTGTGGTATGTCGAATACTTTTGACATATTTTGCGTCCCGCGATAAGCTAGTCAACAAAGAACAGTCTTGTACACAGATGAAGTGATTTTGAAAAAATTGAAAGTGAATAAAATTTTTTGACGATTAGATCAGATAAGCAAAAATACCCGGCCATTTTTTTCGACGCCGAGAAACTGTTTGCAGTTTGTTCAAGGATACTCAAATCAAGACTAAAAGACTTCAAATATTACACATGACTCAATCGTTCACCCCGCGCGACGTTTGATGTGTCTTTTTTGCTGCTTGAATTTTTGTGGAAAAAAAATCTGACAACTTGGATCCAAATTGTTTATAGTGGTATAAATAGGAAATATTTATGAATGATATCTATTATTTGCTTGTAGCCTTAAAGTTTTTGAATATTTTGAAATTTTGAGCCTAAAAATGGCTTTGACGTACATGAGATTTAAGAAAAAAAAATTTTTGCCTTGACTTCTCGAAATCGTCTCAGAAGTTTTTTGCGAGACGTGGTGTTGCAGTGTTAGTGATACTGGTCAAACAATCGTTTGATTACGGATTCAACTCGTACGCGTGAGCTGAAATTTGCAAAGTGAGTTCTCCATAAGGTGCCGTAGCTTTGCTGAACTCGGGCTCAACAAAAAGGGATACTCGGGAGTTTCATTTCTTGAAGCTAATGTTTGCCTCTATCCAAACTGCCATCGAGACTTTCATTTCACGATCTCAATTTTTTACCAGTTGATATTTCCCTCAAATGGTTTTTTCAAATTTTTTCGAATTTGCTCAAGTCAAAAACTATATTTTAGTAAGTTTCTTGCAGCATGAAATTTAGTTGAAAATGAGCCGATCGTTTCTACAAAAGCAGACAGTTATCAGCTATGTTTGACTATAAAATGAACTTGACTCCCAAATTGTCCACCTGCTTCTAATCCACTAAGTATACCATTCTAGTTGAAATTACTATCCCCCTTATTAAAGTCTCTGTTGCTCCTAATACATTGTTTCGGTCTGCGATATAATTCGATTTACTTTTTTCTATTCAAAACGATAAATTCAAATTTTAGTGATGCAACTTTTGCGGTTCAAAGCTGCGTGTTTCAAGGCAATCCGGCGCCTGGATTGTTTTTTGCGTTTAAAAGAACATGTTGAAAGCAAATGATTTTGAAATTGTTTTCTTTTATGAGTAAAAAACGAATCATCTAAACTTCTTTGGTATTAAAGATGCTTTGCTAGAACATGCAAAATACTTTTGCTTCTCGATTTATAAAATCTTGGCCATCAAAAGTAGGGGAAAACGTTGCTTCAGCTGATGTCATTTAAAAAAACCGAAAATTTTGTAGTCGCGCCAAAGAGTTAATGCAATTAAATTACAGAAAGTTCGTCTTCAGAAAACGCCACGCCGTAAATTTGATAAAATTTCCCCGCGCAAGTGAAACCGAAACGCTTCAACGAATAATTGGTATTGAAATTGTTAAGATCTATTTCAGCAGGCAAAACGCTAAATGAACAATGTTTTTTTTTGTTTCTTGGGTTCATTGCGCCCACACTGGAGAGTTTGGATGACTTACTGTTTGTATCCAGCCGCTCTGCCCTTGACAGCACCTGCGAATCCAGCCATGTTGTCCAGAAGTCTGTCAGCCATAGAGACAAGATTTGAAGACGCCCGTTTGTATTAGGTCACTTCAATCCTAGTTGAAGTCTTCGATGGAACTGTAAACGAAAATAGACTTTAATTGTTGCATAATTCATAAAAACCAGTGATGTCCTTTTTGATATGAGTTTTAAATTAAATTTTCTTAACTCAATTCACAATTCACTCAATTTACAGCTCAATTCGAGATTTGAGTTGCAAATAATCGAATTGAAAAAGGAGCCTTGATTATTTATCAAATTATGTACAAAGATACCGTTTGGACTACTTTTTAGACAAAAAACATGTATATTTTTTGCACGCAGAAAATTTTCCGAAAAGGTTTTTTGAGCATAGGCTTGATTTAAAGCTAGGCAGAATAACAAAACTTTTTCCTTTCTTCATTATATGTTGCATCATGAGCACTTTTTCCATAAAACCCACAATTTTTTTGCTTAGAATTGTGTGAAAAACTTTTTTTCATGAATATGGTTTAACTCGGGCAACCACGCAAGAAATTTTTTACAGAGGCCAACGGCTTCGTTGTTTTTTTTCCAAAGAGTGATATGGAGCAAATTACAACCGTTAGTTATATCAGTTAAAAATCAAATTTCACATAATTATTAAGTTAAAAAATCAATTGAGCTCTCGTTTTTAATAAATGAGAACTAAAACGGTTCTAAGTAATTTGTTTGCAAAAATCGAAATCAGGGCTAAAAATTCATCGCAAAAATCGAAAAGTTTCGGTCTCAAAAAACGCCAATTGGTGGTTTTCATGTATACAACTAGCAGTTTATGAAATTTTTGAAAATGTTGAAAAATGGCCCATTATACATACCATGTATCAGTTTATGACTTTCACCTTTCAAAAAATGGCTGAACAATCGACCCGAAAAGTGCTAGTTTAGCCTTTATGAACAACCATTCATTGTTATTGACCAAATTCTTAACACAGTCACATAAAACAAACTTCTATTTGCACTTTGAACAATTTGAAATTTAGCCTCAAGAGTCCTCGGCTTGTAGTTTTTTGTCTTGGTTTCCTAGAACCAGTAAATAGACGTCTTCTAAATTTTTGACAATTAGAAGCAACTTTTGCAGAACTGATATTTCTACAAAATGAGTCGCAAAACTGAGCGGCAAATTAGGATACGGCAAATTTTCAACAAACCGCAGTCTACACACCACAAAAACTTAATGCCGAACTAACATCAGAATTACGAAACATAAATGCATAACAGCGTAGTGCTCACAGCAGTCGCACAAAGGTGTTGCGAACTGGTTAACGTAAATTAGAAACTTGAACAAAAATTAGACCCGGTTATCGCCGTGAAGGAGGATTTTAGATTAATGATACAAAGAAAGCATTCTCTCAATAACGGAATTTATGAAAATCAAAATTTGCCGTTAATGGTCATTAATTTCTTTTACCATCAATATTTCCAATCCTGCTTTCCAGACCATTCTGTTGCAAATTTCGAAAAATTGTGGATTTGTTAAGCTTGAGGTGTTTTTCCTGATAATCTTCAGTAATTATGGCCAAAGCTATCGACACAATTTTATATCACAAATGTTCAATGACATCAGTTCTAAGTCGAAACGTTTTTTCAACTCGATAAAAAGTCTTTAAATTGAGCCATTGAAAATGGGCGATTGAGACTAATTTATGGGTGCCTTGAGTTCATCTCTGCCTGGGTGCAAATATTTAAACAGTGAATGGACGCGAACAAAGTTCATTAAAATTTATATAAGAAAACTAATTGCTCTAGCTAATTTGCAACACTTAAAACCAATGCAAACTTCATTTTTCCCCGAAAAAGCTTATTTTTCAAAATTGTGTGTTCATTTGTTTTAGTCAACCCCAAACGCCTTACCCATAGCTTGATTGAGCTGAGATAGACAATTATATAATTATTTCAAGATATATTTATATACCCATAATGTCAGAATTTTGCTTAAATGTCTAAATTTTTTGAAATGATTCAAAAGGAAGGGTCGTTCATTCAGTTTCAGATCTTCAAGTTAATTAGGAGTTTTTTTCGTTTCCTCTGATTAATTTGTATAAGTCAATCAAACAGTCTGTCGTTGAGTCGGCTATAATACAGATTTAAGCGGGTCAGGCTGCCCTTTACAGCTGAAGTAAAAGAAAGTTTTTTGCCTAAAAACAAACGACAAAATAATAGACAAAAAATTATGACCTTTTTTCTTCACTTTGTCTTCCTTTCAATTCCCCCAGGCTATGTAAATTACAAATGGGTGTATTGACTGCGTCATATTTTAATGATAAGATCAATTTGATGGCCTCAACATGATTTGGAATAAATCAATTTTGTGCTTTTTCAATTTGAGCTGGTTTAATATATATTTTTTTCAATTTGAGACACGGATAGTATATCTTTCAGATCGTATACAAAACTTTTTTCAACATGTGTAGTTGAAAAGCGGACTTACGTTAAAAAGTCACAAAAACACCCTAAGCATAAATATTCCGTCACTTTCTTGAAAAGTCGGAAACAACCCCTATTGGTACGTTTTTGCCTGAATACGTTTTTGCCTGAATACGTTTTTGCCTGAAACTTGGAATAAAAACACAGAATTTGGACACAATGTGGCAAAAAAATCATTGCAATTTTTAATCAGATTTTTGAAAGTTTTCTGGAGAACAAACATAGCAGCCAAAAAAAATCTCTCTCTCTCTGTAAAATTCAGAACGAAAAAACCTCAAGCTTGCATATTCTATCGGGGCTTTTTAGGTATTAAAATGGTCTCTAATTCTCATCAATATAGAGGATATTAATGTCGGGGTTAATGCAGTTCCAAGGGTAATTGAAGCTCATCTCCAACTCATATCACTGCACGATACGTCCTCGAAGCCCCAAATTAAACCCACGCGGAGGTCTTTGTCTCTATCTTCCATTAATCAATGCCAACCTAATCTAATTCGAATAAACGTATACGATTTTCTGGCTTAAAGAAATTACTTTCAATGATAGATTTTCCGCAACTAAAAAAAATGAAAAAAAAACGACAAAAAAGAATCGTACAATAGTCGAATCTTAGCTCGATATCTGAAAATCAGCTATGGTTAATTGTATTTTTATGCGGTTTATTTTTCTAAAAATACGAGAAAAAGAGGCAAACTTATCCATTCAAAATTCAAGTCCAAAGGCAGTTTGGTTTGAGCCATAAAAGGAATAATAATTCATTTATGACCATGTGTTTATGTAGATCAAAAAAACTTATTGTTTTCAGGGAAAACTAGAGATTTTTTCAAGATGAAGATGAAATGTCATTCCAATCACCTGAAGACCGGATGAACAAAGTCATCAATATGTCACAAAAAAGATGGAATATTATAGTCTACTGAAAGTAATCCATATACTGCATGCACTTGCATTGAATTTAGAGTCGTAATTTAACAGCCGAAGACATGGTTATATCTTGCTTTGGTTTCAAAATTAAGGATTATGTTCATATTTTCCCACTTTTTTCTGCTGATTATATCGACAAAAGGAAGTTTTAAATCTGTTTTCATTGAATAACATCATTAAGTGTATTTTCCGCTTTCCGCTTCACAAACTGCATCAGTCAGTTTCATACAAAGACAGATCGAAGTTTTTTCGTGTTTTGATTTTGATAGATGTTTTTAGCATTTATAAGCTAAACCGGAAATAAAACGCCTTCTGAATTGTAAGGAGTACTTGGCGGCATCAGAAACCTAAATCATTTACTTTGGCTAATGATGATTGCATCCAAAATTCTCGCATTTTTTTTGCACAGACATTTTCCGATAGTGCTGTTTTTGCGATATCTCAGGTGCCTTAAAAAATGATCGTTGATTATCAAGTGTGATATCATTTTTGAGTAGTTTCAGTCATGATTTGAACTATCGCCAAAAATTTTGCCCAAAATTAGCAATAATAATTGTATTAAGATTATGCATCAAATTGAACAATCTGAAAGAAAAACCAAACACCTTGTTTGACCAACATACTCTTAAAAAGCTAGTTGCGAGTCATACAACTCCATACATTCTGTTTATGAAAAAAATGTTAGTCGTACAATTTTCAAAAATGAGAGTTTTATGAGTAGCGTTCTTTCATAATGAAAATGTATGATCATATATGAGTAATTTAGGTCTTGCATTCTCCATAAGGAAACTGTTGACCATATATGGGAAACTTAACTTCTATTACATAACGTAGAATAAAATCAGTGTGGTACATAAAATAACCAAAAATCACAATGCGAGTTTTGTAGTGAAAGTAAAAAAAATTGTTTTCATAAAATTTTTTTTGAGAATTGATAAACCAAAATAAAAAGCCACGATTTCCGACCACGGAGTTTTTCAAAGTAATAAATGTTGTTCAACAGATTGCATTTTTGTTAAATTATATAGTTTGTTATAAGGGCCTAGGAAATTAGACGATAAGCAAATTAGACGGATTCTACAAAAACGAAATTAGACGGAATTTATTTTTTACAGATCTGGCATTTTAGACGAAAAAGCTATGAAAAGGAAAGGGCCATTAAAATTTTTTCTTAAGAGTCAAGTTTTACAAATACAAAAAGAACATAAGATGTTAATACGTATCAAAACAATTAGTTTAAATGAACAAAAAATGTCAAATCCGAATATTACAAGAGAGTTTTGAATTATGCATGAGTGACTTGTAAAATTTTTGGCTCCCGAAATTTAACTGTTGTCTACAAACAATTATATTTTCTCACGCAATTTGTCTGCAAACAGTTTTAATCTCTCGCACTTTTGTCTATTTTCTCACAATGGAAGTTTTGCAAAATCGTCTATATTCCTTTTAAATACCTCCGTCTAATTTGCTTATCGTCTAATTTCTCAACCCCCTTTGTCAAAGTTTAGTGATCTTCTTTAAGTCAACTAAGATGACATTGTTATAGTTTATAGTTTATTTTACTTTAGTGATCTTCCTTAAATCAACTCAGATGACTTTTTTTTTAATTATAGTTTATTATAGTTTAGTGATCTTCGTTAAGTTAACTGAGATGACATTGCTCTATGTTATAGTTTGTTATAGTTTAGTGATCTTCGTTAATTCAACTGAGATGACATTGTTCGAGCTTATAGTTTGTTATAGTTTCGTGATCTTTCTTAAGTCAACTGAGATGACATTGTTATAGTTTATACTTTAATATAGTTTAGTGATCTTCCCTAAGTTAACTGAGATGACGTTGCTATAGGTTATAGTTTGTTATATTTTAGGAATTTTCCTTAAATCAACCGAGATGACATTGTTATATTTTATAGTTTGTTATAGTTTAGTATCTTCCTCAAGTCAGCTGCTATGACTTTGTTATAGTTTATACTTTGATATAGTTAAGTGATCTTCCTTAAGTCAACTGAGATGACATTTATACTTTATAGTTTGTTACAATTTAGTTATCGCCCTTAATTCTTCAGAGTAAATCGGAAACAAAAAAATCAGACCAGCTTTTCTCGGCCGAAGAAAGCGTTTGTAAAAAAATTTATGAGTTTTTTCGGTTATTATGCCAAATTTGAGCCCCTTCAACAAAGAGTTCTTCAACTCAACTAAACTTGAGCAGAGATAAAACCACTCTACTTTACAATTACTTTCCACTCGAGTGCAGTTGTAACAACTAAAAAATGCGTTAGTATGAGGGTCTCAAAAACTTAAATTCTTGAAAATTAGACTTCATAAAAAGCCACTCAACCAACCTGGGAGAGTTCAAGGATTTGACTGAGGAAGTTTCGTTTTTTTTTTGGAAATGTGGCCTTTTTAGGTCAACCAAATGGATATTACTGCTGTCCCAGAACACTGTACGATTCCCGTGCTGAGGTTCAGCCGTTATTCCTTGCTATTTATGTAGCATCTCAATGAAAACTACTTCGTATCGCTTCTCAGGTATCATGTAAAAACAAAGTAAGTTGCATAGCTAAATCTGCAAAATCTCACCGTTTTCTCATTGTTGATCTTAAAAATTCAAAGCTAAAACTTTGAATATGCCCTCAAAAGCCTTCTAAAGTTTGAGTCTCACCAAGTTTTTTAATTTTGGAAAAACTTATTCCATCTCTTATTCATCGGTAAACCCAATTTACCGTGTTACTTCAGCGCTAATTCGTTGCTAATATGGGAATGAAATTTCGCTAGAGGTACAATAAGAATTGCTAACTCATGGATGGCGGGCGCTATTTTCTCGCTTTCGCAGAGCGCTGATTTTTCATGGAAGATCAAAACGGGTTTTCATAGAAACTGGGTTTTTGTTACCTATCCCCTCAAATTAAGTTTTAAATGGCGCCAAAGTGTTCATCGAACTGAAATGGTTATCCTAAATAGTACCAAAGGGGGACGCTTTGGGTGATTAGTGAGTTGAGTCTGCATCAACCCCTCGTTTCTGCTTTCAATATCTGAAGATGATGAAAATCTCGCTGAAAACTGCAGCATTTTTGTTCAACTTCATACTTAAGATTTCAATTTTTGAAAAATGAAAATTCCCTGGCGCAAAACGTTGCCTACACAGTTAATAATGGCAATTACTATATATCTACATGTCCATGTGCGCTAAATAAGATGTCAAGAGAAAAAGGAAGCCGGGAAAATAATTTGCTATCTCGGAAAAATTCATGTCATCTCCGCAGGTAAGCAATTTATTTGTTCCCATTCGGAGATAAAATAGGATATTAAAAGGGCGCTTGGATAAGCATTAAAATAAAGACAGAAACTTTCCGGTGGGCAACTTTTCGCCAGGGGATTGAAAATTGTTCATTGGTGTAACCTCGACGCAAATAGTGTTGATGGGTAAGAAAATATTGAATCCTTTGAACTAAATTTCAGGTAGAGAGAGAGACTTTATTCAACTAATCTCAAGAGTCACAAAACACTAGATGACAATTTGTTAAGTTGCACTGAAGATAATTTTTAACCAACCACCTTGCCACTTAAACTTTAAAACCACGCAAGTTACCATTGAAATAAACATCGACACCGCCCACGAAAATGCATCTATAGTGAAAGAACAGATGATTTTTTAGAGTTCATGCGTGCCTAATTTTGTTTCCAATAACCCAAAATGTCCAGAAATTTACTCCAACTTTTTATTGTCAGATAATTACGAACAGAAGACTGTGGTGAAATCGATTGGGAGAGGAAGGTTCGCCCAACAAAGTAAACAAGCTTGCTCCAAGTTATGTACAAAATTGATCGGTGATGAAGTGTTCACGCCCGGAGCTCATATACTATTGTACTTTTTTAGTTAATTGCAGAAAAAAAAATCTGTTGAAGAAAGTGAAACGTTCTTCAACCGCAATCGGGTATTAATTACCAATCACTTCTGCTGGAGGCAGGGGTGGATTAGGAATTTTCTCAAGGAGGGGGAATTTCAATTAAAAATTTGATATTTTGTGCCATTTTTTTTATTGACCGAAGTGATTATATTAGAGGTTGAAGTGGAGCGATACAAAGTGTTTTGAAAACTCGATCTTTCAAAAACTGATCAAATGCGACTTTAATTTCGAACATGCCTTCAACTGATTGATAGATAAAAAAGCGAATTCTTTTTCGGATTAATGTTTCTTAATCGACAGTTCGCTTCCGATTTCTACCCTTGGTAACTTCACATTAGCGCCAATACAGCTGTCCGTTATTTGAAGTAAATCCTACCTTTTTAGGCCAAGTTTAATTCACGTTCTCATAAGCTTTGTATTGAGTATCGAAATACTTTATTAACAAGACTTTCTATTGGTTATCATAAAAATCACTTAAAATCGGTAATTACGAAAGATGATTCAAAAATTATTCAACATAATCTATAATAAGAAAACTTTTTAGATGTTGTTCTCATCTTATTCCGACTTTCGGGGCGGATTTTCAAAACATTTTGACGACCTTTTTTTAGGTCGACCTAAAGCAGTAAAAAGACCCAGTTTTGGCCAAATTTTCTAAAACAGGTCAAAAAAGCCGTTTTTGGGCTTTTTTTGGAAAATTTTGACAAAAAAATCGGTTTTTTGGCGCGCACTCCCCCTCAAAGTTAGTATATATTGGCGCCTATTGGCGCCTTTAGAAAAATTTTAGGCTTGGTCGGCCAAAAGTGGATTTCTTAAAAAGTACCAAAGGGGGACCCTTTGGGTTGGCAGGGGGTCGAATCCCTGAGGAGGGGGGGGGGGGCGTCCGCACCCCCCCTAAATCCGCCCCTGATCCACACCCAAATTACGAAAAAAAGATCCATTTTAAAACTCAGTTTTACTGCCCTTTCTAGTGCCCTTTTCAACCAGAACTTAACAGTATTTCGAAAAATGAAACTAACGTAGAATCAATGTAAATGGGCCAGTTATTATAACAGGGCGAGCTAATAAGGGTAAAGTTTAAAAGTTTTATCTTAGTTTTTTTGCAAATATTGGTAAATTTTTGTCCAAATTTTGTGTCAGGCGACAATTTGTCACAAGCGACAGTTTATTGCACGCAACATTTAATATAATTTCAAGATGCGACAATTCGACTTGAAAAGATGACAGAGCTATTTGACATAATAAGTATAAGTAATTCAAAGTGACCCAATTTAGCTATGTTCAGCAACCAAGAGGACAAGCTTCAACGGGTCTTGGACTCGAAATAGAGTTTTTCACGGACTTAATAAGCAAAAAATTTGAGTTAATGTGCATTGCATTATGCCAGGATTCGTCGTTTACAACCAATTCTTGCCTAAAGTGAATTTTGGCCATGCCAAAGTTAGCGTATATAGGCTCCGAAAATTAGTGAAACCAGAATTAGTTTCGTTAAATAGCATCAAAAAAAAGTTTTTTTAAAATGTGAGGGTTGAAGTAAAGTCGTGATGAAGGTTATTACCCGCAAAATATGTCCTTAATACTTCAATTTAAGTGATTAATTTGTTGAAAAAACGTTCTTTGCATAAAATGAGTTGTTTTTTTTTTGTAATTTTACAAAAAAATCCCGAGATTTTTTGGAAATAACAATCTTATTGATTGAAATTACCAAGATGTTTAGCTAGTTTCTTTTTGAAGGCTGACACAATTTGAAAAAAAAGAGTTGTTTCTATCTGAGTGTAGTTTGTTTCATATTTTTACTTCGTTTTTTCTTCGTAAATTTAAAAGCTGCTTATTGTATAAAATATTCCTCATTTAAAAAACGCTATGCCTTTTGGGAAATACTTTTGATTCTTCTAAAGTATCAGCATTAAGAGAAGAACAAAACCAGTCAGAATGTCAACTATACAAGATTAAATGTATCAAATTTTTCAATTGTGACAACTTTGCTTAAACTAATTTATCTATATATTGTGAATTGATTCGATCTTTGTTTTTTGGGAAAACTTTATTTCGAACAAATTTGGTATTTTATTCCGGAGGTTTGTTTTGTATAAACTTCTAATTCAAATGCAACTTAAATTTGTTATATTTTGAAGATGCTTACCCAAGAATTGAAATCACTTCCTGGAATCGATTTCGGACGCGCTAATGACTTATTTGCAAAAAATGCAGAAATAACGACAAGTTTGATGATGATAAGGAAGATGGCTTAGAAGCAACAGTATATCCGGAGGCTAAAAATTTTTTTTGCTGCGGGCAAAAGTTTCAGATGTGTTTTGAATACTGAAAAGTGTAATAAAACTATGTACTGTGCTGTCTTTATCAACAGTGGTTTTATTTTTTATTTTGGGAAAAGTCAAGTAAAACGAGAGCCCGGGAACAGATGAAAATGGCGCTAATTGTATGTTTATTTTGCGTAATACCACCTAATAAAACAAGTTTTCCATCAACATCCAATCAAAAGCCTCGAAACTGTTTGACAATAAATTCAACAACCATTAGGGAACATCAACAAGGCAGGTATAAGAAAGAAGAGCCAACTGTATGCGAATGAATGAATAATAAAGAGCAGGTAACCAGTTTTTACGCAACACTGATTTTCGATTTGAAAAGACTTGAGTTATTATATGTTGGCTCAATACAAAATAAATTTTTTAAAAAAAATCCCGGGAGGTGAATTTAAACGAATGCAGAATAGCTAATTCGAATCGAATGTTTATTTGTAATTTTCACAATGAAGGAGCACCTTCATTTAAAACTCACTTTTCAGTCTTGTATAGTGAGAGATTCCTGCGCTTTTTAAACCAATTCTGCCTTTGTGCGAAATATTCAAAATTAGAAGGTTATGCATAAATCGAAATTCCGTTTGGTGATTTTAAATAAAAAACGGCTCTCGAATAAATCATTCAAAGCTGAGCTCAATAGCTTTTGAGTCGAAAAAGGGCGATAAAACGCCGCCAGCGTAAAAAGTGAATACAATAGGAAAAATATATTTAAGAAAAAACAAAAAAACAGTAAAAAGTATAAAATATAAACAGTTTCAGACTGAAACAAAACAATGGATATTTAGCTTTCAGGTGAAACATAACGAATTTTTTCCAAGGGAGTAGAATGTTTTCATTTCACGTTTGTACATATGCTCGGACGGATTGAATACAAAAAAGAACAGAGCAGAAAAAGTGGTAGTGTATGAAAAGATTTTTCCGCAATTACAAAATAGGAAAAACACCTGCCACGGGCTGTTTATGGTCATAAAAAATTTACAAACAATTTTAACCTCCTCAAACAAAGAAAATCAGCCACTTGATTTATGGCAAAGTAGATCTCGGAATGACGCGTGAAATATTCACGACCATGACTTCATTCTCTTCACGTTTTCTTCCTGTTTCACATACCACATGAAGGAAAAACAGAAGACATGACAAAAAGCAGAACCATCTGAATAAACTTTTTGAACGTGGTAATATTTTAATAGTCTAACAGTGCTTTTGTAGTCTAAATAGTCTAGTTAATTAATACATGGTTTTCAAATTTTGTATATTACTTCAAAGCTCATTTTTTGTATATTATTTTGTGCATTATTTCACCGAGAAGTCAGGCTTAAGTTCCGCCGAAAAGCTCAATTCATCAAAAAATGTCCCGACACCGGTATTTGCAAGCAGCTTAATAATTTAAAAATCTATGATTATTCATGGAATAACTGTTGTAAAAACGTCAAAGATGGCCATAGAGCGTCAATCAAAATTGAGTCGAGATCATGTAAAACGTTTTTCTTTGATTTTTTAATACGTTTTCCTTGAAAGGTTGGAAACACAGCAAATTATTGCCAACATGTGCTGAGTTTCCACTTATCATTCCGCTCGAAAGTATATGGGGGATATCAAAATGGGCCGAGGACAGCCCGTGATAAAGCCAAAAACAAATTTCTCAAAATTGTCCGTGAAATGAGCAGAACTTTTCATTTGTTTGGTCCCTAATTTAAACTGGTCCATGAATAAATTCATCCGATTCAAAAATCTTCCCAAAATTTTTCTTGAGTTTTCGAATTTTCTAGCCTCAAAAAATCACTTGCCTAATTAATTTCAATTTAGGGGCGGATTTAGGTGGCGGGGGGGGGGCGGTGTGTGGGCGGACGGCTCTTCTCAGGGATTCGACCACCTCACCCACTAAAGTTTCCCCTTTTGAAGTATTGTATGACATCCATTTTAGGCGACCATCCCTACAACTTTTCTACAAACTAACTTTGAAGGGGAGCGCGCGCCAAAAACACGCAATTTTTTGGTCAAATTTTTCCAAAAAGTGTCCAAAAACTGCTTTTTGTTTACCTGTTTCTTCAGAAATTTGATTACGGCGCTGAAAATTTAGTCAAAATGCGTTCTTTATAGTGTTTCGGGAGTTCTCGGAAAATCAATTTGGTCAAACTAAAAAAAAGGGGGCAAATTTTCGAAACATTTTGAAAATTCGCCCGCTCGAGAAAATTGTAGATCCGCTCCTGTTTTAATTGTGTCGACTAATTTCTTAAATTTCTTGTTACGTCCGTTTCACAAAATAGGTAAGAACTTTGGCGTAGGATAAGTGTTTTCAGTCATTTGACTACCTTAAAAAAACTCGTAGGTAATCAAGCGAAGTTTGATATTAAAACCGTTTCCGTCTTGTTTCAGATTCTTAAGAAATTTGAAAATTGTTTCCTAGTGTACAAAATTGGTCTAAATGATTTCGGTTTTCAAATAAAGGCCTCCCAATTGAACTCTGGTTACAATTTGATAGTTATTTGATAGATACTGTTACTTCTCAAATTAGCAATTTTTTTGTTCATATTAGGTTGATAATAAAGGATGAAGCCTTAACTTATTTCAAACTTTATGAAAACTAAAATTTGAGGCGGTTTAAGTTCGGGACCGAATTTCACTCCAAAATGAAAAATTCTTGGCTTTTTTTATCAAGCAAAAAATACCTCAAAAATTCAGGGATCGTTTTTGACAAAACTACATCAATTGAGCAGCCTTTTACGAAGCACAGAAAAAGTTCAAAAAGGATAAAATTTCAAAAAATAGTTCAATTTAAATAATTTATATAGTTGTCGCTTATGATCTTGATTGAATACAGTTGTTTATTAGGATTGGAATTTAAGGTTACGGAAAAAGCATTTTCAACATGGCGCAGCCAGTAGGATAAGGTGGGGGGAAAACCATTAGGAGTTACGTCTTTTTGGCCACCGAAATGCCCGGAACCACCAATGCTGTGGGAATTTTGGCCTAACCGCTTCCAGTGGGGGATGGTAGCAAAACACGCAACAAATCCGAACAGTTTTTACTTTGCAAGTACTCTTGACGCGACCCAAATCGCTGCTTGAACTGCGGATGTGGATGGGAAACCACTCTTGGAAGCGGAAGAAATATTGATATCCAACTTATACCTGTGCTTTGGAGAAAAAAGGCAAGATGGTGGAAACCTCATTTGAACATGGAGGCCACGAGATATCCACGGGTGCTGGAAGCGATGGAAGGGGAATTCCGGAAAGAACGGAATGAGACATACGAGGTATTCCAACAATTGTCACCTAAGCAACGCATTGGTCAGTCCTTGGAACAGTTTCACTCCGTCCTTAGTGGTCTTGCAGCAAGGTGTTCGTTTGGAACGCTGGATTCTAGAATACTAAGGGATGTATTTATTGTAAACGTGACCAACAGGGAGGCCAAAAATGAGCTATCTCGAGCAACAAAAAAGTTCGGAAGAAATATATCGCATCGCGCTATCTCATGAGAGGGGAGACAAATACGCAAAAACGTACGTATCGATAGCTGGAGGATCAGTTGGGACAACTACAGCGACGGCAGGAGGGCTCCAGATTAAAACGGAACCGCTGGGTGTGATCAGAGGTCAATATCGTAACAACCGAGGGCGCGGGCGCGGACAGGTCCAAGGAAGAGGACAATTCCGAGGGGGAGTAAATGCCAACGATCGGAGATGTTACAATTGTGACAGCCCAGGTTTCACTGAGGAACATATGAGCCAGAGTGCCGCAAAAAGCTGGACCTGTAGTTTCTGCAAGAAGGTGGGCCATTTTGAACGAACATGCCGTGCTAAACATGGAAACCGAGGACGACAATCGGTCGGAATGTTTCAGGAACAGGAGGTTCACAACCAGGACAATCATGAAGGCATTGAACATAACATTTCATAACACGAGAATTTGGTGGGATGGGTAAATACACCAACACAGGCACGACAACAGCATTCGTGGGATTCAGACAGCTCTGGGGATTATCTAGCTATGTCGATTAGATCGAAAAATGAAAGAGAATTGCGAGTCGCAGGCTTTAAACTACCAATGGCAATAAACGGGAAAAAGACGAGAGTTTGGATCGATAGCGCTTCGCCAATTTCTATCTTGACAATCGAAGAACTGAAGAGAACATTGGGCGCCGCAGGAGTCAACCTATGTGATTTGACACCGAAGGACCAGGATTTCAGAAGTTACGGAAATAACCCGCCAAGCTTACTGCGGACCATGAAAGTGCAGTTTGCATCAAACGGATGGAAGACGAAAGCGGTCATCAAAGTGATTGAAAGAAACCGCCTATCAATAATCGGACGAGACTTGATGGCTGAATTAGGGCTCCAGTTAGTTCAGAAGGCACTAGGGGAGCAGGTGATGGCAATTCACGAGGAGACTGCCAAGGGAGATGACAAACTGGACCAATGGCAGGACTGTTTTAGTGAGCAGTTTTCAAATCTCTTTACACAGGTCGGTGAAATCCTGAATTATAAGGTGTAGAGAGAATTTTTAAATCCCTCCTACCTATTCAACAAAAGGGTAGGCGCGTACCAATAACGTTACAAGAGAAAGTAGATGGGAAAACATCCAAATTGTTACACCAAGGGCATATAGAAAAACTCGACGACTGTTCCGACCGATACTTTGTCTCTCCAATAGTGGTTACGGTGAAAAAAGACGGTTCAGTGAAATAGCACTAAAATTAGCACAAAGGAAAATTGGGGATATTTATTTTCCAACTATGGACTGAATATATGCCTATGTTCAATTGCCACTCAGCCCGGAGACTGGCGTCTGATGTAATTTTTTGTTAATCGGGGGAAAATTGACGGGAACGTACCGATTCAAAACGGGTTTCTGCGGTTTAACTACTATGCCGGCGGAATTTCAAAAAGTGATGGATTCCATTTGCTTGGAATTTCCATAGGCACACAAATTTATTGATGAAATTTTAATTACAACAAAATGATCGGAAAGAAAACACATCTCAACAGTCGAGAAAATACTTAAAAGCTAGACAAAAAAAACATGGCGTTAAAATTGTCAAAAAGCCAGTTTGCGCAACGTGAATGTGAATGCCTCGGGAATAAAATCAATTCAACAGGCATCATCCCTTTAGTTCGGAAAACGGCACCAATCGACGCACTTAAACTGCCGCGAACTCTGTCGCAACTTAAATAGTATATGGGATCGATCCACTGTTTGCATACGTATATCCTGGCGCTTGTAGAATCTTCGGCGCTGCTACGTCAATTACTTAGTCGAAAAACGAATACGTATGGACACCGGAGTGCCGGCGGCATTCGAGAACTTAAAAAGTCAAGTAGCAAATATTGTGGAACTAAAACACTTTGATGTCCACAAGGATATTCGAATAGCGTGTGACGCGAGCCATAACGGATTGGGAACCGTATCAGAGCAACTCGGATCGGAAGGGTGGCAGCCGATCTCATTCGCGTCGCGGTATCTGAATGATGCTGAAAAAAATTATTCAACAAACGAACTGGAAAGCTAGCAATAGTGTGGGGAGCAAAATGTTTCCGGAATTATGTTTCGGGACGAATTTTCTAGTTATCACAGGCTATAAGGCGCTGGTATTGTTGTTAAACGGGAAGAAAAAGAAAAATTGAACAATGTTCAGCCGTTTAACAAGATGGTTAGATAGGTTAACTGGTTTTGGTTGCCGAGTGGAACATAAACGGGGGCTAAAATGGACTTGGCCCATTACTTATTCAGAAATCCAAACAATTTAACTAAGCCAGTTTCAAGTTATGATAGTATGTTCACCGTGGCGAAATTAACTGCAATTCCTAAAACCTTTGTAAAAACTTTGTAATTGTAAAATCTGATTTATCTGGAGGACCGGAAATAAAACACCAATATGCCTCAACTAACCAGGTCTTAACCAATAAGGGCATAATATGCAAATTTCGTACAACAAAATGAACGCTAAGGGGCGATGTGGCTTGCTAAAATAGTTCAGCGAATCAGCATGCAGCAGTTTGCGCTTGCCGACGCCATGTGACAAAAACTTAATAGTAGTTGGAGCTATTAATAACTTGAAAGATGGCATGAGTTATTTAAAGAAAATTCAATTGACATGGAGAAGAAATTTAGAAAGATCGAGAAATTTTTGGAGAGGCACCCGAGTCTTGATACTAGTGAAAGTGGAGACAATGAAGAGGAGGAA